CATCCTCCGGCCCCAGCAAGAAATTAACATCCGAGGGCTTGGAGGGGCCAAGTGTCTCGGCTGACAGTGACAGCTCGGAGGTGTCTGACGCCTCGGAGCTGCTCCTCAGGCTCAGGTCCTGCATTGTCCGGCTCTTGACTGGGTCCCCGCCCAGCGGGCCCTCGGGCTGGGCCAGCGCCGCCTCGGACACGCTGCGTCGCATTGGCACTGGCGTTGGCTCTGCGAGAAGGTCAGGGTCAGAGGGCTGGATGAGGCCACAGACTCCAGCCTGGCTGCCCTGTTGGCTGGGTGGCAGGAAGGTTGTGGGAAGGGCGGTGCCCCTGGACAGTGACCTACATCCTAGCGCTGTGGAGGCCTGGGTGTTCCCCTAGACTCCTAGCTGCAACCTGAAGGGGGTTGTCCCCCTAGCCCCTTGGAGGTGGAGCTGTGTGGTAGAGGAGGGTCTTCCCTGCTACAGGTTGTGTGTGTGTTGGGGGAGGGGAGACTGGGAAGATTAAGTCCAAGTCAGTTTACCTCTGGGAGCCTGTTTTCTCCTCTGTACAACGGAGATACAAGTAGTCCTTACCTCATAGTAGGTGGTGAGGACTCAGTGGGTAAGATGTGGGATTAGGTACTGTGACCCCAGAGGAGGTGATGATATATCAGTATTAATGTTTTATTACAAGCCGGGGCCCTGTTCCAGTCACCACCGCAGCCCCAGCATGATGCCCTGCCAGCTCTTCACAGATTCTTGACACAGAAGGTGCGAGTGTGCCCAAGTGGAACAGTCAGCAGACCCACAGGATGGAAAGGAGGCACTTTCATAGGGAGCGGAAAAGAGTCTCGGGGGCATGATATTTCAGGACCCCTCACCTGTAGCCACGTGGCTCTGCTCTCAAAATGAGCTCTGCGTTCTTCAGTTTTATCCCTTCCTTTTGAGTGACTGGGCAAGCAGGTGCCCAAAATGATGCTGAAGATGCACATCCGGCTGGCCTGCTGTGACCCCCTTGGCCTCAGTTTAGTTAATTTTATCAGATCCATGCAGCTTACACCAGGGCCAGAACCCTACATTTTTCAGTTTTTTCACTTGTCCTTATAAATCCACAAAGGCAAAATGCAAGAAGGTATGAGAATAACTGTACAAGTGCACTGTGACCCAGAAGGATGTTGATGCCATTGGAACAGAACTGTTGACTAGAGTCACAGGAAGTAGCCAGTCCGGGGTACTGGCATCTCAGAGCACTTACTGTGTGCCAGTTTATGCTGGGCACTTGACACAGGTAAGTGTGTGTAATCATCACAACAAATCTATGAGGTAAGTCCTCATATTGTACCCATTTCACAGAGGAGCAGACCAAGGCTCACAGATACTGTTACTTGCCCAAATGTCACCCTCTGCTGAACTCATCTCCCTTCCCAGTTGCTCCTCATACAGGTTCCCAGCTCCTTGAGGGTGCTACCACCCACCCAAGGCCAGGCATCTCCACTTCCCGAGGCCTCTCCAGTCTGCTGATCTCCCCACCCCGAGCTCCTAAGCCGTTTCCTGGGTGGGGATGTTACCCCCATGTCCCTCTGTCAAAAGTCGGTGAAAAGACTTGAGGAGGGCTGGAACCCTTGCCTGAGGGCCCAAGAGACGCGGGTGGAGTTCTCGGAACTGGAAATCAGGACATGTGGCAAGCCTTCTGAGTCAGTTCCCAGGGTGTGGAGCCTTCCTGGGAAAGGCTGCATGGAAAGCAGATCCTGCAATTCCTGGGACTCTGAGATGACCTGGGGGACCAGAAGTCCTGGAGTTTCCAGAATGTGGACCTTTGTGGAAAATCAAGGTTTTGAGGTAGGGAGGAGGGATGGATATGAGGTGGAGCCAGGAAGGTGATGTCTGCTTCCCTGCGTGCCCTGGGGGCCTTTTCCTCGATCAGGACTCTGGTGTGCCAGGCTGTCCCACCGTGGATGGGTGTGTGAGGGAAGGCATCACTCACCTGTTGTGGGCACCGAGGAGGTCTTGTGGGACTTGCGCCCACTCAGCTCCAGGAAGGAGCTGAGCCATGAGGAGGCACCCATGCGGAGGTCTCGGAGGAGAAGGGCTGTGTCCCGCCGCACCAGCCCCATCATGCCTAGCGCCTTCTGGTCTGAGTCAGAGTGGTCCTCTGTCTCTGCACCTGTGGAATGTACGTGGGGGTCGAGTTGGTCTCCAGTCTTTCTGGACCCAGTTTCAATACCCAGAACTTCAGACATCTGTGCCCCCTATGACCCAAGAATATCCTGTTGCTTCACTAGGAACAAGGAGTCTCAGATTCCTGCCCCCAGCCCCTTGTCTCTCAGACCCAGGCATCTGGGCCCCTAGTCCTTCGCCCTGTAGGATCCAGGCATGCAAGCACTCGCTGGCCCCCCGGCGCTGTGGACGTGGGCCTTACCAGCGTAGGCACTGACGCACTTGGAGAGCACGCTGAGGGGCAGCAGGGGGTCCATGAGGCTCAGGAGGCGGGAGGGTGAGGCCGCGGGCTGCAGCATGGTGGCAGGGTAGGCTGCCATGATGCCATCTGGCACCCGCACCCCGTAGGCCGCTGCCCGGAGGGACACAGTGAAGCAGAGGTTCCCGCCTGCACTGTCTCCCGCAAGGCATATCCGCTCTCCTGTTGAGCCTGGTTTTGAGGGGGAGCTCAGTCACTGCCAGGAAGGAGCAGGGGGCTGAGGGGAGGGCAGGGAGGAAGCGGAGCTCTGGGCTAGGAGAACCAGGCTCTCAGAAGTGGGGCGTGGGGTCCCAAAGCTCCATGGTTTAGCAGACTGCAATTTTAGGAACAGGTAAACTGAGGCAGGGATTTGGGCCCATTTGATAGGCAGTGGTCAGAGGATCAGGAAGACTTAGGACGAGGAGAGGCCCGGAGATTAGGAAGTGCTGGGGAAGCTTGGGAGGCTGGACGGCAGAAGCAAGGAGGGCAGGTGGGGAAAGGGGAGGTTCAGGCTGCCAGCACAGAAAGGCTGGGCTGCAGCCCCTGTGCCCTGGGGCATGGTCCGGCCCTGCTCTGTGCCTCAGTTTCCTTCCTGCGATGTTGGTAAGCGAAGTGTGAGGTCGGAGGAGCTGGAAGAGTGGGCTGGAGCATGGGCTGGGAGGTGGGACGGGGAGCGGGGGCGGGGAGGGGGGAACAGGCGGAGAGGAGATGGGCCGGAGGTGGAGAACGCATTAAGACAGAAGATGTGAGGTGGGGGAGATGGGGTATCTGGGCTGGAGTTGGGGCCGGTCTGATGAGTAATGGGGAAGAGGAGGCAGAGGGCTGGGGCAGAGGAAATGGGGGATGGGGCAGGCGTGGGGAACAGGAAAGGGCTGAAGCAGAGACGGAGGGTCTGGGCAGGTGTGTGTGGGGGGGACGGGAGGCAGAGGGCTGGGGAAAGGGGAAGGCACAGGGGATGGAAGGTGAGGCTGGGGAGAGGGGAAG